TGGCTGCTGCCTCCTTTCTGTCTTCCGATTCTTGAGCAAGAGTATTCCCATTGGCCCAACATAAATGGAAACTAACTAGAAAGGGAATTCTGTGCGCTAGAGTTGAGCCTTGCCAAGTTAATACATCAAAAAGCCATTACATCCGTAATTTTTTCCCATAAACTAAATTTGAGTTGTGTTCCATCATTGGCATAAAAAAGCTTCTGATTTCAGTTGCCATTTACTTATTGAGTAATCTTCTTACACACCACGGAGCTAGGGACTATTTACGATTTTGAAGACTGAAGCTCAGAAAGGTTAAAAAACTTTTTCGGACTCAGAGCTTCAAACAGTTTGTCTTTCTACTGCTGATACTAGGATACCAGTCTTTGCCAAAAAGGAGCCACCTGGTTGGAATATGAATTCCTCATGAGCCTGGAAGCTGACTTCAGCAAATTTTTATTTTAATTAAAAAGAAGTCCAAAACTTGATGTACTTTATTCATCTGATGACAGAACAAGGCCAAAAAATATATTTTTATCTTCATGACCCAGTGCCTGGCCCAGATGTATCATTTGGCTGATGTAATCAATGGTTTGGTCTGTTTCCCCTGTTGCGTTAGTGTCTGATATTTTCAGATGATCATTTAAGGCTTTAACTCTTATTTGGAAACCTCTTCCTACCTGGAATAGCTTAGAACTTAAACTCTCCTACAAACATCAGCTGCAGTCACAATGTCAAGTCGATGCTGTATCCTCTTGCAAGAGTGGTGAGGAAAAAAGGAACGTACAAATGAACAATATCAGAAATGAAAGAGGAGACATCATCACAGATTTGACAGACATTAAAAAGATAAGAGGAAAATAGAAAAAATTTTATGCCAACAAATTCCATAACTTCCATGAAATGGACACATTCCTTGAAAATGGATACATAGAGTGTAAGACATTGTAGCTGGGATTCCAGAGAGTTGGATCTCCTAACTGCCAAATCTAAGGGCGCTTTTGGGGTTTTACTTTACTCTTCAGTGGATTGGACACTGCTGACTGTATACTCCTTGAAATCTTCCTCTTTTGGCTTCCATAAAACACTGTTAGTGTTTCTCCATGTAAACCTCATTTCCCTCCTTCTTCCTTTCTGCTTAATTACAGAAATTCTATGATTTTCTTTTCTTTTCTTTTCTCTCTCTCTTTTTTTTTTTTTTTGAGATAGAGTCTAACGCCGTTGCCCAGGCTGAAGTGCAGTGGCAAGACACGATTCACTGCAGCCTTGACCTCCCCAGGCTCAGGTGATCCTCCCGTCTCAGCCTCCTGAGTAGCTGGGACTAGAAGCATGCACCACCACATAGTTTTTGGAATTTTTGTAGAGACGGAGTTTTGTAATTTTTGTAGAGATAGTTTTTGTAATTTTTATAGAAATGGAGTTTTGCCATGTTGCCCAGGCTGGCCTTGAATTCCTGGGCTCTAGTGATCCTCCTGCCTCAGCCACCCAGTGTTGGGATTACAGGCGTGAGCCACTGTGCCCAGCCTCTATGACTTTTTAAATTCCATGTCTGCATATAGGGCTCTAACTACCATTTATATGCTGATGGCTCCCAAATCTGCAGCCCCAATTGCTTTCTTGAGCCTCAGTTTGACCCAATATCCAACTTTTATCAAGACTATTATCTATGCTGGTCATTTAATTAATGAGTACCCACTACCCTTCAGATGTGTTCAGACCCTTCAAACTCATTTCCTTGTTGCCTGCTATTAATACCCGGTTTTCAGTTGGGAACTGTCCCTCCCCCATTCTCAGTTTTTGTTAGTCAGGAAGAGTCATCCTCCCCCATCAGCATGTGGCCTTATTCTATCCCTTCCAGCCCATCTTCCACACTGTGAACTGAATGGTCTTCCCAAGAAATACATCTCATAATCATGGTGGTTTTAAAGCCGAGTCCCAAAGTCTTTGACTCCCCTCCATTGAATGGTGGGGTGTCCACCATGACATCTGGGCGGGCTTGTGACTGCAAACGAGTAGAGCCCGCAGAAGAGACACAGCGTGACTTCCAAAGCGAGGGTAGAAAAGTCCATGCAGCTTCCACCGGTCCTGCAATGTTCATTCTCTGGAGGCCTCCTCTCAGGAAGTTCCCTCTCAGAAGCCAGCTGTCATGTTGTGAGAAGTCCAAGTCACGTGGGGAGGCCATCTGCTGACTCATCCTAGGAAGGTAGGATAGGCGCCTACTGACCCATCCTAGTTACCTGGCTTTCAGGTTACCCTAGTCCAGCCAGGCTGAGATTCCTAACAATTTCAGTCCAGGTTCCTGAGAATCTTCTTAAAGTGGATCCTCTAGCCCCAACTGTTCCAGCTGTCAGCCATTTGAGTCTCCCCAGCTGAGGCTGCAGATACAAAGAGCAAAGAAGAGTTATCTAGGTGTGCTCTGTCCAAGCTCCTGACCATGAAATTTGTGATCTGAAAAAGAGTTGTGTTAAGCTGCTAAACTTGGGGGAAATTTGTGGCATAGTGATAGTAACTGGAACACTTATGCCACACCCTTGCTTAAAATGTTTCAGTGATTCTGCATCGCCACCACCCAGATGAAGTCCAAATTCCTTTGCCATTCAGTCTGAGCTGCTTGTCCACCTCACCAGATCCAGCTCCTGTCTCTGTCACACAAGCCCTAGTGCCAGACACACTGCAATTCCTGGAATCGTCCCTACTTCCTTGGGCTCCCATGCCTTTATACATTTTGTTGCTTTGCCCAGATGTCTTCCTGACATCCAAGATATTCAGCAAATCATCTGGAAAACTAGGGGATGAAAATCCACTGACTTCCCTGAAATCCTTTTTCTCCAGGAATAATGATTGAGTGGCCCTAAGACAGCTCGAGTCCTCTGCAAAAGAATATTCAAAGAATGTGGGTTATTTTCTAGGTCTCTGAATAAAATAATGATTATGCAGAATTGATTCTGGAGCCAGATTGCCTCCATTCAGATGCCAGCTCTACACTTATTAGTGGGGGACTTTGTGCAGGTGGTTTCACTTCTCTGTGCTTCAATTTCCCCATCTGTAAAATGGGGTAATAACGAATACTTTGTAGAGTTATGGTAAGGATTAAGAGTTAAAATATGTAAATTGTTTAGAATGATGCCTGGCAGAGAGTGCTTGGATAAATAACTGTTTGTTGAAAATAACACAAATCTGCAAATAGTTAACTGTAGTCATTGCTCAAATCTGCTTGTGTATTGCCTTCTTTGGGACACCTTCTGAAGCCTCCCCCACACTAGCTATCTGAGTCTCAGTAGGCCTTCAATAAGTGTGGATTAAATGGAGCCTTGCTTTGATTTTAACATACACAGTAACTCCATGCCAGAAAAGGATAATAAGCAAGTTCTTCTAAGCCATATGGGTAATTAGTGGCTGAACAAGACTAAAACTTCTAGTTTTGTTCTTCTGACTGCCAAACCTAAGCTAGTGGCTTGTGTGTGTATGTGTACACATGCATGTGTGTGTCCCCCAGTATCATCACTAACCCCTATCCATTTGCTTTTAAAATTACTTTATTCAGAGACTTATACAATAACCCATGTTCTTTTAGCCTCCTTCTGAGACCCTGAATTGTTCATAATAATAGATTCAATCACTATTATTCCTGAAGAAAGGATATTGCACCCTTCCAATTATTCGGACGATTTGCTGACTGGATAATTCCGAGGCCTTGAACCCCTCCCTAATGTTAGAGGTGGTAACTTTCATCCGTTTACTTTTTCCAGGTGTGAAGGCAAAGGCAGCCTTATTCAGTAAATCGGATTCAATACAGGACCTCAAGCTGCCGGCTGTTGCTTCTACCAACTGCCCCATTATTAACGCCAGACGGCGCTGTGTCCTCACGGGCTTTTTTTTTTTGAGACGGAGTTTCAGTCTTGTTGCCCAGGCTGGAGTGTTATGGTGGGATCTCTGCTCACAGCAACCTGCGTCTCTCGAGTTAAAGTGCTTCTCTGCCTCAGTCTCCCGAGTAGCTGGGATTACAGGCATGCGCCACCAGGCCCAGCTAATTTTTGTATTATTAGTAGAGACGGGGATTTCTCCATGTTGGTCAGGCTGGTCTCGAACTCCCGACCTCAGGTGATCAACCGCCTCGGCCTCCCAAAATGCTGGGATTACAGGCATGAGCCAGAGCGGTCGCCCCCTCACTGGCTCTTTGGCCACCACGTCGGCCTCACAAAAAGCCCAGGTTTCCCCCAGCATAGTTCAGGGGATGGTGAATGCTTCCCAACATGCCGGCAACAGGCGCCTTTCTTTCTGCTTTTGGTGCGCGCGCGTGTGTCTGTGTGCGCGCGTGCGCGCCCGTGTGTGTGTGTGGAGGGGGAAGTGTCCCATTTTTAACCAGTCTTTTGGAGACCTGGCATGGTGTTTGAAAATCTGTTTCCCCTATTATCGATCCGATCCCAAGATTGCTTTTTCTCTGACACTCGAAACAAATTCACTCATTTATTTTTAATATTATTATTTTACAAAATAGAGTTGGGGGTCTCGCTACATTGCCCAGGCTAGTTTCGAATTCGTGGGCACGAGCAATTCTCCCACCTTGGCCTCCCAAAGTGCTGGAAGTACAGGCGAGAGCCACTGCGCTCGCCCCAAACAAAATCATTTAAATCACGATACACTGAAGGCCGACTAGGTGTCAGGCGCCGCGCGGTCCCCTATCCCTATCTCCCCGGCCAGAAGCAGGCTCTAGATTAGGGGACTCAGCCTCGCGGTTCTCCCGACGGTATCAGCCAAGCACACACGCCCAGTTGCCGGGCTTCATGGTCGAGGTTCCCAGTTCACCCATCTGGGAGGGCGAGGTGTGTCCTCCCCTTCCAGTACCTGGGCAACCAGCTCCCTTTGCTGTCCTCTTCTACTGCCTTCCCTCGCCCTGATTTTCCATTCCTTGTGAGTGGTGGTTTCGGCTGGGGGGGAGGGGGCGGGGAAGGGGCCCGGCGAGGAGGGGCGTCGGAGTGCTGTCACCCGGTGTCGCGCCGCCCTCCCCGCCCCTCCGCCGGGCGTGTGGGGACGCCGGAGGGCGGGAGTCTCCGCGAGCAGCGCCGCGCACGGAGCAGGCGGCCGCTTGGGCTCGGCGCGGAGCCGGGAGCCCGGAGCCTGCAGCCGGCCGTCGCCTGCTCCTGTGCGCCGGGCGCCAGCCCCTGCCGCGCTGCCCGGCAGCCGGAGAGCGCGCCCCGCCATGGAGCCCTCTCACAAAGACGCCGAGACGGCGGCGGCGGCCGCAGCGGTGGCGGCGGCGGACCCCCGGGGGGCGTCCTCGTCCAGCGGGGTGGTGGTGCAGGTCCGCGAAAAGAAGGGCCCCCTGCGCGCCGCCATCCCCTACATGCCCTTCCCCGTGGCCGTCATCTGCCTCTTCCTCAACACTTTCGTGCCAGGACTGGGTAAGACGCTGCGCCCGCGAGCCCCGGGATCCCAGCCACCCCGGTCCCGCGGAGGGAGGGCGGGGAGGGAGGGACGGGCGCGGCCGGAGACCTCCTGGCGGTGCCGCGCGCTCCAAGTGCTGCGACCACGCGCGCCCGGCCGCTCCCGGCGTCCGCTGGCAGGTGGCAGAAGCGCGTGGAGTGGGCACCCCAGAAGGGAGGGGCTGCGTTGGGGGCTCCGACCCGCAGGCGTAGTGGCGGGGCTCCAAAGAGCCAGAAACTTTGCAGCCAATGTTAGAGCCCGGGGCGGCGGCGGGGTTGGCCCTCCTGGCTCCGGAGTAGGGCTCCAGTCCCGGCGCCCCGATTTCTGCTCCTTCTTTCTGTCGGGCGCATCCGTCCGTGAGCCCATTTCTCCGAGAGGAATGGGTCGGGGCAGAAGGAGCTTTAGGGCCTCGGTGGCAGGGATCAAACTCCCGGGCGTCGAAGTCAGCTGTGCCAGGGAAAGAGGGGACAAGCTGGGCTAGAGACACCTGCAGCCCCCTCTAGTTCGCTGGGTGTGGACCGTGTGGCGACAAGAACTCTAGCCAGAGTCTCCTTCGCCTCCTTCAGGGGTGCCTGCACTTCCTCCAGCACCCCGCAGGGCGCCGGGGGGATGGGGGATGATTTCATTAGTTTGGATGCATGTGAATTTGGACTGCATCTGGCCAGAGATGAACCCATAGACCCCTCAGATCCCTTCCGTTCCTGAGAAGTAGAGTGCGCCGGACTCTGGCAGCCGGCGGGGATTCTGGTGGGATCGATGTCCCACATTTTAAAGCAGAGGACCCTTACAGAGATGGTGCGGGAGGGTGAGTGGAGGTAGGGAATGAGAAGTTTTCCTGACCCTCCCTCCCTTAACTCCACCCCCAGGTCTCTGCCTGCACGCCTCTCCCCCTCCTCCAGCTTGGCACCGGCTGCTCCTGCTGTGAGGTGCCCCCCTTTTCCGTGCTCGGCCGAAGAGGCAGGCGCCCCCTTCCCCTCTCCAGGAGAAAGCCTGCTCCTGTTGGCGAGCTCGTTGCCGACGTATGGCTCCAAGTTCCCAAGAGCAGAGGCCAGTTGGAAGGGTTTTTCAGTTTGTCTTTGGCCTTTCTCACGGTCTCCTTGGTCTTAGTCTGCTTAGCAGAGGCCTCTGCTGCGGTGATAGCCAAGGCCACGGCCACCCACGCAGGACCCATTCACTTTCCTCTTCGAGCTTGCTTGTCTTTGTACCCCAAGGGGCTGCTGCGGGCCGCAGCCTATCTGAGCAGTAAGTTAGGTGGACTTTAGTTGGGCTTCTTTCTTCTGGGATGCCTGCATCAGCCTGTGCCCCTGGTTGGTGTCATCAGATCAGCTCTCTTTGCACATTTAGACACTGCCAGGAGGCAAGCTAATGTTAATTTAGTTTTACCAGAGATTCCCACCTGCTGAGTAAAAAGAGACTGCCTGCCCCTCCCTCTGGCAGCTGTGAAGATCCTCCTGAGCCGGCTGGCACGCATCTTGCTTCACCTTTTTTTTTTTTTTTAATGGTGAAGTAGATGCCGCCCTATGGTCTTTTGAGGAAACAAATGCATTGGTGCCAGGTGAGAGGGGCTGCACCAAGTCACTGCTGCACGAGGAAACCACCTCGTGGGAGACTAGCCCCAGGAGACAGCAGCTGCCCACCCGTGCACCTGTGTGTGCTCTCTTGGGTCTTCCCTCACTAGGTGCCTTTCCCAGCCTTGGCTCTCCTGCACTGACAGCATCGACTGCACAGCGTCCGTTCTGCTGACCCCTGGCTCCCTGCCCTAGGGATCCAGCTTTTCCCTTTGTGAGATCAGAATCCTACAGGATTTTTGTAAAACAACCAACCAAAGAAATCAATATAAGAAACAAGGAGAATATAAAGGGAAGATATGCAAACTACAAAAGTAATATAACAGGTGAGCTCTAGGTGCACAGATTTCTGAATTTTCAGTGACATAATCCTGGCTTCTTTTTCTTCCATTTTGCTTTGATTGCTATTGTACAGTTTACTGAGTGAACAGGCTCCTGCTCCTCTCCACACAGAATGAGGGATTCTTGATCCTTCGTAGTGGTTCTCATCTATAAGTCAGGCACACCTATCTCGTGGTGTTGCTGAGAGGATGAAACATGATTACGTAAAGCCCAGTGTCTGGTGCATAGGGAGCTCTCCGAGGATGGTGGGTCCGTCTTGCTCTTCTGCAGAGCTGAGCACTGCTCTCATCTCTGGGTGGGGGCTGCTGCAGCCGGGGCAGCACTGCCCTCTGGACCACTCAGGAGCAAAGGCTCTCTGCTCCCCTCTCCACCTGCAGTGGAGTTCCAGGCAACGAAGCCGCTCAGGCCAACCTTGCAGATGGTTTTATTGCCCCCTTCTCTAGGAGTGGGTTAAATGGCCCTGGCTCTTGGAAATCCCCCACTTGGCCCAGATCCACTTCTCCAAGGCCTCCTGGCTTATCTGAAGCTCCTGGGACAACTGAATATTCATGATTGGTTCTGCCCTTTGATGAAATGCAGCTTCTTTCAATTCACTCATTCATTTGACCAACACAGGCACCTACCACATACCAGGCACTGACAGGGGTTGTGATGACGAATAAATCAGTCAGGATGTCATAGGCTCTTGAGGAAAATTGATGCCAACTTTGTCTGAACTTGGTAAGTGCTCAGATGGCAGCAGGAACAGAGTGTTGTAGCAGAAGTTGATTCTTCTTGGGGGTGAGGGAAGAGGGGTGGTCAGAGAAAGCCTCCCGGAGGGAGTAGTGTTAGGTTAGACCTTGCTGAGAAAATCTATCACGTGGCCTAAGCACTTGCCATCCACACTATACTCTCACTCTGGAAACTGCTCAGACCACTGGCCCAAAGATCTCTATTTTTCTGGAAACTTCCCTCCCTGCAAGTCCTCTTCTTGATTGCAGATTGGATGAGAGGGCAGTCCTTGCTGAATGAATGCTGTTTTTAATTTCTTCCTCTCTGATGTAGGTGCCTCAGGTCCATCCATTTGCAGGACCTGCCGTGGAGAAGCCGCATCCTTAAAATTCCCCAGTGCCTTCTCCACCCATGCAACAGTGCTCTCAGGATAACACTCATATTATGAGCGGGCTGTGCCCTCTCCTGGGGAGTGGCTGGAAAGGAGAAGTGACTTATGATCACTCTGACTCCTCACTGAAACAATAAAAAACAATTTTTACAAATGGACATTAGTAAAGAGAGTCACCTCTAGTCCCATTCAGTGAAAATCTACTAATAAAGACCACCCTTGGTACCTTTGTGTTCCAGCAAGTAGGGCGTTTATAAGTATATACACAATTATTCATACATGTAATGAAAGTTCATTGTTATGCCCCCAAGTGGCCAGAGAGTTTGTCTAGTGTTCAGGGGTATCATTATACTTTTATATTTTAAAATTATACCTATCTTGATTTGGTGAAACGAAAATGTGGATATCTCAGTGACAGGTAAATTTGAATGGAGGAGGGCCTCCATTGACCTTTAGCCACTCCTTTGGACTCAGGACATCAGATAGGGACCACCTATCCCTAACACACTGCCTACTCTTTGTTGCTGCTAAAGTCTTGCTTCCCCAGTAAGAGCACCACAGGCTGGCTCAGCTTCTTCTCTCTCTCTTTACTCGAGACCAAAGACTCAAACGGATGATTAATCATGTCCTACCTCCTGGCTTCTTCTGTATCATAGATTTTTTTGTTGCTGTTTTGAGACTTTATTCTTTGCCTATCTAAGCAGATCTTAAATTCCTTGGGAGCAGCAACTATCTTAAATGTCTTTTTGAAAGAGTATGCTATCCATGAATACATATAGACTAGAATTATACTCCTAGAATAAGCATTAGAGATCATCTGGTCCAGTGCCTTTATTCAATATAAAAGCGAAGTAGGTCTGAGGATGCAAGGACCAAGGAAGTTTACATCCCACTAAATCTTTTGAAGGAAGTTGCTGAAGATGTTTTTCAACAAAGTAAGGGAGTAAACCAAGAAAGGAGATTTGAGATTCAGGAAACAATGGATCCTCTACAGAGTAGCCATGAAAAGCAAATGAAATGTTCAGCAGGACAAGAGAGTAATCACTTTTCATTAGAGTGGAAGGAAAGAGGCCTCTGAAGGTGACGTGGGAGAAGGACACTCTACAGAGTAGACAGTATTATTAGGACACTGCAAAAAAAATAATAATAATAAGGTTGTAATGAAAAGCAGAAAGCAAGCCAAAAACCAAGCAAACAAAACAGAAGGCAATTAGTAATTACAGTAAAGACAAAGAGCCATGCAAAAACATTAAGATCCAAAAATGAAGCAGCTTGCCCAATCAGGTCAGAAGGTCATCAGGCTTCAAAAGAAGAAAGAGTCTAAACAATAAATGAAGTGGGAAGGAATTTGGAGGATATGAGGGATATGATGTAGAAGGCAAACGTTTCTTCTATCAACAAGAAAAAAGAAACATAATCGGAAACTTCTGGAAAAACAGTACATTTCTTATAAAAGAGATAGCCTAAATATGAAGCAGTCCAAAAATGTGGCCTGATTTTGAGCATGTGGTGGAATGTAAGAAAGGCTCTAAGCACACAGGGTCGGTCGTTGGAACAGTGGTGCATGATATGGGCTCTTTGGCTCTGCAGTAAAGAATATTTGTTTAGTCATAATAATGTAAGTGCTGCTTAGTGGCTTTCAGCTTCTAAAATCAAAACGAAGCACTGAAGACTACTTAAGAGTAGCTCTAAAGGAGCATGTAAAGTGTTTCTGGCTTGACAACATAGAAGAAGTTGGATAGTAGAGGAAGAGAGAAGATGAACTGTGATAGATTGAATTATTGTTCCCAATTATTCACTGTTCTCTCTGAAAGAGGATTTCACACCCCCATCTGATGCCATATGGCTTGTCTGCCTGCCCTTGTAGGAGAATCTTCCTCCCCTGCCCATTGATAGCCAGTTTGGCCACATGACTCACTTTGGCCAATTGAATGTGAGTGGAAGTGACATATGCCAAGCCAAACAG